TATAAATTATATATACAGTATACACATTATAGTAATAACTTTTTTAGATACTGTATATCTTTGCTCAATATAAAAAAAAATTTATTTAATAAAAATAAAAATTTTGTATTTAAAAAAAAATTTAAAACTTTTATATATAGTAGTATATTGTATATACAGTATATACAGTACAATACAGTATATAGTAATATGCTATATTTTACTGTAATATTGTATACAGTAATTTGTATTTAAAGAACATGTACTTAAAAAATTTAACTATATTTTATATATACAATATACTGTATATTTGCAATAAATTATTTTATAAATACTGTACAGTACAATATTTTGATAAATATTTAAATATTTTAAAATTTCTAAGACTTTGAATAAAGATAACTCGTTAACAACCCAACCAAATTCGATAAAAAAGTATAAAAAAGTATATCGAATTTTGATGGGTGGTTGTCGAGTTATCTTCGCTCAAAATTAAAAAAATTGAGTCCATGTCGATCATTAAGCAGATAAATCACGTGATTTAATGTCACAATGTAAAGCATCACGCCGGGTACTTTAGTCAGTGCATTACGGTACAACATAATAAAGGAAATCAACAAATAAAGTAAAACGTGCCATAGATTAAAAAAATTGTTATGTATAATTCTGTAATTAATTGTAACATGTTATTTGTAACAACTTACTCAGTATAATAAATAATGTCGGACATTAACATAGATAATTAATAAATGACGCCTCATGTTACAATTAATTTTTATTAACAATTTTTTAATTTCACTATGGCACGTTTTGATTGATGGCGTTCCAAAGTATTACATCTATGATATCGATATAAGGATTTCAATGTTACACTGAAAGCTTTGCAAAGCTCATTAAAAGTTTTCATTCGGTAATCTCAAATGTACGTACAAACAAGTGTTACGTACAATGTACTATTACGATAAGAAAAAAAGCGAATACGTACAGGAATAAATTAACAATTAAAGAATTAATAAAGTACCCAATTGTCAAAAAATGCTATGTAGTAGTTTCTGAAATGGAATCCTTGAATACGTATTATGGTTTATATGCGATCTCTTTTTTAATATGCTAGGTTTCGTTTATTTAGTTATTGGAGTCAAATTTCTAGAAATATTGAAGGTAGTGAACTTAGTGATACCGACCATTCAACATTTACCGGCTGGACTAAGCTGTAGCCAGCTTGGTCGAATTTCCCAATTATGCGATTCTCGTCATCCGTCCACTTTCAATTGCAAAGCTCTTGCAGCGGCTTATTAACAACGAAAAAATTATTTAGTTCACGTTTAAGCTTCCAAATTTTAATTATACTATTAACTATTTTGTTCGTGCGTGTAAGTTTAGCCTTTACGAAAAGTATGATAATTACATTTGTAAATCCGAAAATTGCAATAACTATAATAACTAGGTCAGGATGATTTCCAATTTCATTGTACTTGAAATTTTCAACGCATTAATACATTAATACATTAATACAAAGTGCAAAATAAGTTTATTTACTAAAAATATTTCGAATCGTTAAGATTTATGCAATTAAAAGAGCATAAGTTTATTTTTAATCATGCCCTAAAGAAAATTATCGATGACACTTCAGATAAAGTATCAGTCATATTTAGATATTTTATTACTACTTTCAAGAAGGCACTTTTTTTTTTATTGAAAATTGGATTTCCAGATTTCTGTCAATAACGCCATGGTTTACGTTTTATAACGTTGATCAAAACCTTAATGCTAATTAAAATATGGTACCACTTCTCATTGATCTAAGTCTGTTCTTTGAGTACATCTTTACATACTATATCTCTAACCGTGTAAAAAAAGTATGACTCCATATGCGTACAAAATTTTTTGTAATAACTGAAGCTTATGCGTGGATTATTATCATAAGAAATCGACCAGTCGTTTTTTTTTTTTTTTGAAAAAAAAAAAAAGAAAATCACCCTGATAACCAAAAATTAACCTTGGCCGATTTTTTTCATAATTGTTCAGGATCACTAAGTGAACTCATCGAAGAGGAGTCTTCAAAATTTTTAAAATTTTTGATTGATTTCGTTAAAGGTGCATTTTTTAATGATGAGCCGACTATATTAGTTGTACCATCCTTAATTCTCTTTCTTTCTTTGCGACGTTTATGTTTTTGTATAAGTCTTTGTACTTCCAATGATGCTGATTCTTTGTTAGAAATTTTGCTTGTATCAGAAATTTTAGTTTTTAATCCTCGTTTCTTTGGCTTTGATTCCGATACTTTTAAATGACTTTTTACCGGTTCTTTAATAGAATCTTCATCTATACTCATTTCATGTTCATTATTTATAGTTTGTTTATCCTCCAACTTTGGTTTTTTACTTTTTGGTTTCGTTGATGAATTACCATTCTTTCGTGTTCTCGATTTAGTAGTCTTGCTAGTTTGATTACTTA